TTCAAAATAGCTGATTTAAAATTATTGTTATCTTTGTCTAAGAAGTCCAATATCTTGGCTTCCTCAGGAATGATTTTCACTGATTGCTTTTTGTCCCATGTATGGACCATACTTTCTTGTTTTTTTCTAATGTCTCATACTTTTTTGTTCAAAAGTGGACATTTTTAATAATATAATGTGGAAACTCTATGAATCAGATCCTCTCTCTCTCTCTCCAGATTTTTTGTTGTTGTTGTTGTTTGTTTTAGTAGTTTTTGGTTGTTTAATGACTTTTGTGAACAAATTGTGTAAAGTCTCTGTTTTTTGTTGTGTGTGGCTACTGAAGTATCTGCTTGGTCAGGTTGGTGGTCATCCAGTGATTAGACAGAGATTTCCTTAAACCTCTGGAACCTGCCTTAGCTTTCACTTTCTGCTTTCATAGCACCTCAATGTCAACCAGAAATGAGAGCTTGAGAGCTTGGGACCTTCTGTGGTCTTTCTTGAGTATTAGCACAAGCTCTGGCATGCATATAGCCCCAAGTCTGATCATGGTCTTACAGATTCCCAGGAATATGTCATAGCTTTTCAAACCCATATGGACATCTCATTTCCCATCTTTTCCTTTTAAGGTTCTTGATTAAGCTGTTATCCACTGTTTCAGGAAGCTATGAAGTCAAGTAATTGCCTGTGATTGCTTTTGACAAACATCTTCAGGGAAAGGACTTTCCACACTGGGTGAGCTCAGAGTCAGGCAAATACTGACAGCCTTGCGAGTGAGCTTTTCCAGGGAACCAAAAGACAAGTCAAATAATGACAATTATTTGGGAATGGAAGCTTTGAAAGCTCTCCAACTCTTAACTGCTCTCTCTATTGGCCTCTACACTGCTGGTTTTTACTGTAAGTGTGAGCTGTTATTGTTCAAAGTGACTGGCCAGCTGGAAAATGGGGGATGAGAGTATGTGAAATTAAAATGCCACAAAGTTCTCTGTTTTTACCAAGATTTAGCCATTTTTCTTGAATAAATGATCTTCTGGTTGCACAAGATTTTGGTTTATTTCTAGCGTTCTGAAAAAGTTTATTTTGACATTATTTGCCAGTTCTCTCATTCCTTTTATGAAGCACAGGATTTTCTGATGTCCTTACTCTGCTATTTTCACTGACATCAGTCTAACATGCAACATTTGTGGAAACACATCTCAATGAAGGAATATAAATGTACCTTTAAGGCATGAAACCTAGAATTCGCACAGATAGGAGAAGAATGAAAGACTTGTCTTTTGATAGATGGGAAATTTTTAGCAGTCTCTGGCACCAGGGGATGATTTCAATGTAATATTTAACATGGTAAATTGCTTTCTCATTGTGCCAAATATAGGTAGGAATTGCCTTTGGGATTTGGTGGACACTGGAAAAAAAGGGTGCAAAATTCTCGGTGACCCATGAAAAAGCTGGAAGAGGAAACATGGCTGCAAAGATATGTGTAATAAAATCATAAGCTTGGATCAGTTATGATTTGTTGTTATGAAAATCAAAGTCACCTCCCTTGAAACCCAGTTTGGGAAAAATATAGTAGTGTCTTCTTTGGAAGCTGTGAGCTTCTGCAGGGTAGGGATTGATGTTTTTAGTCTTTTCTCTTTCCCGAATGTCTAGCATATTGCCTAGCTTCATGTGTCAAGACTTTCAGTTGTAAGTAACAAAAAATCTCAATTCAAATTCACTTTAGTGAAAAAGTTTATTTTGTATGCCCAAATTTCCAAAGATAATCGACTTCAGATATAGCTGGATTCAGGGAACTCATGAATCTTTCCCAGCAATTGGTCTCTACTACTCCTGTCTCTGATTTCCTTTGTTTGGGGTTTGCTTGAATCAGTCTTTGTGGACAAAGTGTTGGAATACCTTATTGATCAGATTTGGGTATGTGCTCTTCAGTGAAGCCTGAATGAATGGGCTATGATCAGTGTCATATTCACTGACAGCAGGAGTGGAATGATATACAAATGAAAAATGAAACATTGTTATTAAAAAGAGGAGGGAGGAATGAATATTCAGCAGGCAAAATTAATGCCTACTCATGACACACAGAAAACACCCATATTGGTATTTTCAGTTGCATTATTGAGTTGAATTTAGCAGTTTGTTCTGGGACTGTGATATGATCTCTGTTCTTTGTATGTGTTATGATTATTTCCACTTCCACATCATTGTCCCTTCTTGGTGAGTTCTCATCTCAACTTCTATAGTGCTTCCTGTCTTCACTGTATGCTTTAATATAAATATATGTAAATGTGAATATATTTCATATTCCTGGTGAGAATGGAGTGCTCAGGAACATGGAGTACAGTTATATTCTTTTGAATTTATCTTCTCAAGATTCTATCCAGAGGAGAGAACACATGTAAGAAATAAAAAAAAGACAAACAATTTTTCACCTTTTCTAGGGTGGGTTGTCATTGTTTTTGAATACTGATTAAAAAGTTAATGTTTTCTGTTGACAAGTGGCTTTTATTTGCAGGTTTAATGTCAATGAAAAACAAATCATGTAGAAAATGGAAATAGTACTAGTAACTATCTTGGGAAGGTTATTGAGAAAATTGAATGAGCAATTAATTATATATAAAATACTAGAATACTGCCTGTCCCATAATAGCTAAGTTTTAGCTATTATTATTGTTGTTGTTAAAAGTTGACTTCATCTCTTACCCCATCATGTCTTCCCAATCACATTTGGGATGGAGAGTGGGTGGCTGATTTAGAAAATTGAATGTGGAACCACTTAGTGCCTGAGCTGAGGCTAGGGACTCCAAGTGTGAAAGGAGCACTGAAATAAAACAATGATCTTATTGATATATTCTGGGAGTCATGGAAATAATTATCTGTTCTTTCTAGTGAAGCCAATTGTTGAATGTTTGATGAACACTTACCTCTGAGCTGTGTTGCCCAGTTGTCTACCAGCTTCTCTGGTTGACTCTCTTTCTCTCAGGCAAGTGTGGAAGTCGCATCTCCACCAGAGTCCCTTTGTGAACCTACTCAGTGCTTCTTTAATTCATTCACTGAGTAAGTATTTTAGAGCACCTTCCATCACAGCTGTATTTACTGAGTGCTTGTCACTCATTACATACCAGTTCTGTTCTAAGCTTTGCACATTGATTGTTTGATTGAATCTTCATAATGTCACCACACAGTAGTTGCTTTTATTATCCTTATTTTCCAGATCAGGGAACCCAGGCACAGGGGATGTAAGATTTTGTTGCAAGATGCTGTGATAGGCTGTACAAAGCCGTTTACAACCCCCATCTCCATTGTACCTCCATATAGATGCCAACTTTCCCAGCTTCCCTTGCAGGTGGGCTTGGCCTAGTAACAAGCTTTTGATTTCCTAATGAAAAGGGGCAGGTGCAGCAGGTGAACTCCTTCACTCTTCACCTTCTCCCTGCGTAGACAGCAGTTAGAGATGGCTGGTGTGCTAGATTCACCTTGCTACCTTGAATGTGTGGCCAACAGAACTGTAGAGAAGTAGCCCTGACCCCACTGAGCCACAGGACCAAGGCCAGCAGCCATACTACTCCAGAATTCTGGTTTTGTAAGAGGCATATAAACTCATGCTGGCTTATTTCGCTTAAGCCAGGTTTTTTTGTAGCAGCAGTTACACACAATCTTCACTGAAACAGATGCTGAGCTGTTCTCAAACCCAAGCAGTCTGTTCCCAGAGCCCATGCAGGTGGTCTCTCTTCTGCATTGCTTTTCACAGGCCAGACACTGTCCCAGATTCTCTGAACAGAGATGGCGCCATACCCTTCTGGAATGTAGAGTCTAATGTTTCTAAATGCTATCATAACCACAAAAAATGTTATATAATTATGAATTTCAGGAACTACCATTCAGGGAAAGACTATGACACATAATAACAGGGAATTGTCTTAATTCACACTGTGAGCAAGCAGAAAAGCCCCATTTCTCCAAAGAAGTGAACATTTATGCTTAGATCTGAAGGATGAAAGGACAGCCACGTGAATTTTGGGTAGAAGGCTCTGCATATATAAGATCAGAAGGCATAAATGAGATTGCACTGTTGGAAGAGATAAAAAGATGTCTGTGGTAAGGGACAGAGAGAAAGGAAAAAGAGAGCACTGGAGAGTCAGGCAAGCGTCAGACCACTCCATGAAGGTTTGTTTGGATTTTATCTTACAAATAGTTGAATGCTCTCAATTTGCTTTAAGCTGGGAGAAATAATGTGAATTATACTAAAAGTAAAAGAACATCTTTGTTTTGAGGAGTCACAGAGAGATCAGTTGTTCAAGTAAGAGACGTCGGCTTGATGTGGAAGTTGGTAATGTGGATGGGGGAAGTAGACATATTTAAGATAAATTATGAAGATCCTACAGAACCCCAAGGTTCTGTCAGAGGAAGAGAGAAACTAACAAGCATCAGTGTTTAAAAATACTTGGGTCTAAATGGAAATCCCTGGGGGTAGTGGGGGTGAGGGGAGGAAGGGTGCTGGTGGTCAGCTCAGGGGCAGGGGTTTAAAATGTGACCAGTTCTGTTCTTTGTGCTGTCGTCTTTCCTAGTTTAAAATCGCAGTGAAGGCTATAGTCACCATGTTAATAAACACTGAAAATTAGGCAGTCACTTACTAAATGAACCTTTAGCTAAGATTTGGAAAGTATTGAATAGGGCTCTGTGCTGTGTGCGAGACGTGTCTGTAGGAGGGTGGGGGTGGGTGGCAGTGGGGACAGGGAGCTGGAGGTCGGGGGTTGCACGGAGACCCTGCCCCCGGGCCCTGGGACGAGGGTCTGGCTGTCAGGCTCTTCCATTCCTGACTTCATGCACCAGAAGCGGTTTAAAGTGCGGAGCCAGAGCCAGGGTCGCGGGGCTCGGTGGGCGGCTCCTGCCCCGCCGCCCTGGGTGCGCGTGTTCCGACCTGTGCCCTCTTCTCTCGGGCAGGACACGGAGCTTCTCAACACCGCCGTCCTCACCGGAAAGCCTGTCGCGGTTCCCGTCAGAGTCGTGGCGGTTCAGGAGGACGGTTCCGTGCTCGACGTGTCGGAGTCTGTGGAATGCAAGTCCGCCGATGAAGACGTCGTTAAGGTCAGGGCTTTGTCTACAGATCCCCCCAGCGTTCGGTCCTCTTTGTCGCCCCTCCTTTTGTCCCCAGGGTCTTGTTCTGACCGAGCGCCCCTGCTCTGAAGGGCTGGAGCCAGAGTGACCTCACTGAGGAGGGGATGACTGACAGCGGAGACTCCGGGGTCCGGGGCTGCGGCATCGCCTGCTTCCCTGGAGAGGGGACCCCGACCCTCAGTCTCCAGCAGAAATAATTCATTCCCTTTCCCCCCTCTTCCTGTCCCTCTCTCCCTCTCTCTTTCCTCATAGGACAATATTTTTCTAACTTTAGCAAGCCACACACCATCTTCTCAATTTTTTGCTAACTCTCTGGGCCTAATAATATTATTTAACTTAATATATTTTCTTTAAATGCCTCGCCTTTGGGGGGCACTCATTTAGCTCAGTTGGTTAGAGAGTGGTGCTAATAAATGCTTCACTTTTTCAAACTTGAAACCTCATTTAGCCTCATTATAAGACAATAAAACCCATGAGCTTGATGTACTAAATTTTTGTTAATATGCATTACAATAAATGACTAACTATTAAAATCAAAAAATCATCTATGTGCCCCTAACTTAATTTGAGTATAACCAGGGAGATACAGCTCACAGTTTGGGAAATCTGGCCATGGACATTTCTGCTGGAGTTTTCATTTTAATTAGCTGTGTTTATGACTCCAAATTCTGCCAGGAACCAGCGGATGGATTTTTTTCATGCTCTTTGCAGGGGTTTATTGAACCACCAAATTTAGTGTTTCTGCCTACTTTTTTCTTAGCATAGTGGTTGCGATTTGCTTTTGCAGCAGAGACTTCAGGGACAAAGGACTTAAATCTTCAGAATGATCCTTCCTCCTTTAAGTTGCTAAAAGAGTCCACAGGTTCAATCTATTCATTTATTTTAGAAAAATACAATAATGCTGAGTCCCTTCCTTCCTTATATTTTACCAGCTCCTGTTTAGAGGTTAGAAAAACTTGGTCTCAGTCTTAAGAACTTTGCAGTAGATAGAAAGGCCTCTATGGGTTTCCCTATGGTAGGTAGAAAAGGTCTGGGAGGGGTTGATTTTTTATTGCTGTGATCTACAAAAGGTTGTGTCTTAAGCAAGAGAAAATTTGATGAAGAAATGATGTATTAGTGAGGTTGAATTAAAAAAATAATCTGTAGGAAACTCAAGTTCGGCAAAGCTTGTTTCCTGGGCTTAGAAAATTAATTCTCCCTGGAGGTGGAAGGTGAACTAGCTTAAAACCTGCCCTGGGGCTCCTGGTGGTCCCTGTACTCTGTGGGCAGGTTTGATGCTCACAGAGTACAAATAAACCTAAGGACTTAAATATTCAGTATTTAGAAAGATCTGAACCAAGTCATAGGTGATCCTCTGCACAGATGAAAAATGTTGATGATGCATGGCCCTTGGTTGCCTTTGACAATGCACATTTCTTACCATCCCCATGTCATTCTAGAAAGGAGACACTGAAGGTGGCATATGGAGATGGTATCTGTGTGCTTATGCCATTATGGGCTTAAACAAACAACCCACTCTGAAGTTCCCTAAGCCTTTTGTTCTCTCCTGAGAGCCAGTGTAGATACCCCCAGGATGGAGTCCTCATTTCCTGCTATGAAGGACTCTACCCTAGAGAGGCAAGTCCAAGTTCATGGATCCTATTACTGCCTTATCCTTGGTTGTCTCAACTTCACAGAAATGTACTAAATGTACTAAAAATATCCTCTGTCCAGCTGATAGATACATTATTTTGTAAGACGATAGTTTTTTGCTCAACTGCCACTTTTGTAGTCTTATGAAGATAGCCTTCTTCTAGCAAATTATTGCCTGATCTTCAGAGGAGCAAAGTGGAGTCTACATCACCAAGTTTAGAGCTACATTAAGATTATTTTAGGGTTGCAAATCCTGGGGCCTGTGTCAATTGAGGAGGTTTAATTAATTGGCTGTGATTCATTTGTCATGGCTTCAGAGCTGATGTTTATAATAAATTTTGCCACAACTCTGAAATGAATGGAGTTGACCACAGACCTGTGTACTGGCCTCGGCATCATCCCAGAGGCATCCCCAAACATATAGCACATTTATTAGCATCCTCTGGAGATACCCACTCAGTCTGAGGAGTTGTCACTCAGCCACTGCTTCATAGTACAGAAAACACTGTGTGATTCCCGGGGAGTGCCTTGCAGGGTTCACCAGGGATCTTTGTGCACTGGAATTCTATGCATTGAGACTATCATCCAGGTTAGCAGAAAGTGTGAATTTAGGAAGGTGTAAAATATGGTAATATACAAACAAATTAGCTTCTTTGGGATTGTATGACTTTTAGGGGACAGAATCTGAGGACAGAAGTGACTTTGACAACCTATAACCTTGGCCTAATGTGGCAAGATTAGAAGGGATAAATGTTAATTTTTAAGCTGTCAACTACTTTTAAGTTAAAAATAAAAAAAACCAAGTAGAATATGCAGCTTAATAGTAGTGTGTGTGCACATGCATGTGCAAAAAGCCTTGATATTTTTATCAATAGTGAGATCCAGTGAGTCAACTGAAGAGGCTGCTACAGGCTGACTTGATTTTAATTAGCATGAATAGGTACATGATTCAGAACAGAGGTCACAGGCAGTCAGACTTCCGACCACATCTGGCCCAGAGGGGTGTGTATGTGTGTGTGTGTCTGCATGTGTATATATTCTATTATTATTCAATTTGTTGCCATAATGTAAAAATTGTTAAATTCACATGGAAATCTGGATTTCAAGATTCTTATGAAAAATCACATGGTCAGGTGGCCCCAGGCCCACATTTCTTCCTGTGGACCTCAACCTGGAGTTGAATAGAGGATGCCCTTTTGAGTAAGGCCTGTGTCCTCTGGCTCACTGCACTCCCCAGCACTCTCTCTCATCTCCCACATGGAGGCTGAGGGACATTTGTCATTTCACTTCACACATATGCTGCTGGTTTCTGAAGGTAGATTTCAGAGGAAAGTGAGATATTTCTTGTACTCTGGTCCCTAAAAAAGACAAGCATTGAATGATAGAATTCACTGTCTCACTCCAACAGAGAATTCTATATTTTTCTAGGCCATAAGAGGAACACTGGAAAGTTGGATTGTGTTCTGCAAAGAGTGTCCAGGGTACATAAGGCTCTTGGAGTCAAATCACAGGGAAATGATTGAAGGAAGTGTGAGTGTTTAGCCTGGTGATGAGAAGAAAAGGCCCAGGGGTGGGATAGAGAGGGAGATGTGGCAACTCTTTTTAAGTCTTTGAAAGGCCATCATGTAGAAGATGGAGTAGATTTGTGCTTTTTATATTCCAAGAGTGGAAGTTAAAAGGGAGCCATTTTTAGTTCAATATAAAGAAAAAGACTTCAGAGGTAGTGAGGTCTTTGGTTAAGCTCTCAAATAGATGATGTTGGTTCAAATCTTGACTCCACCTTCCTCACTGTTTGACTGAATTACTTAACGTCTCTGAGCCCAGTTTCCTTATCTGTAAAATGGAGATGATAATGAATCAATGGAAAGGTATTGTCCATAGAGATTTGTTCTAAACTCATTGTGTAAAGCAGAACTAACAATAATCAAAATAATTCTTGAAAATCCATTACAGAACACCTGGGTTTTTACAAGTTTAAAATAAAGTTGATTTAAAAAAATATGTTTTCCTTGCACTTGAGTTGTGGCAAATTTCTTGGAGCAGTAAAGGGTAAGGTTTAGTTTCGAAGGTAATGTTGGGGGAAGTCTAGATAAATTGGATTTGAGGGGAGATGAAGATAAATTTCCTCTCACTCCGTTTTATTCTTCTTTTTTATGTCTACTGGTGAAAGTCTTATCTGGTGGCAATCTAAAGTTATTCTGAGCACATGTAACTGACTTTTTGTTTGTTAAATCTGTGTGATAAAATCCCAATGTGCAGTTTTTGGAATGATTAAATGAGTGCAAATCTAAAGGAAGTCACATAGTGCAGTAAATATATTATATCTACATATCTGCATGTTTATATTTATATCCATATCTATATTGATATACCTATGAATTTTATTTTATTTATTTATTTTGTTTTGTTTTGTTTTTATTGGTTATGAATATTCATGGGGTACAAAGCGAATTGTCACAACTCGTGCCTAAGATGTGATGGCCAGATCCATACTGGCAGCATGCTTATTACCACAAATTGTGATTATACCCCCTGCCCCCACCCAATTATCCCCCCAATTATCCCTGACCTCCCTCCTCATCCCCCTTTCCTCACTCCACTTTGTATCCCTAGGTATGTTCCCTCCCCCTGCAAGTCCAGCACAGCACTGTGGTCTTCCTTTCCTTCCTTCTTTCTCTCTTTGTTCCCAGTTATGAGTGAGTACATATGGTATTTATCCTTCTGTGATTTGCTTATTTCACTCAATGTAAGTTTCTCCAAGCTCATCCATGTTGTTGCAAAAGGGAAAATTTCATTCCTTTTTATGGCGGAGTAGTATTTCATGGTGTATGTATAAATTTTAACCTGTACTGCTTGTAAGGTCCACAGTATCAATAACTATGTCTGTTTTACTAACTATTCTGTTTCCAATCCTAAGCACAGTGTCTGGAACACAGTAAATATTTGTTGAATATATGAATGAATGAATAAACACTAGTGATTCTCAGAGATGAAACAAGATACTGTACAAGAATGGTTGCCTTGTCTTTATTGGAACATCTCCAGTGAATATTTTCTGTTAATGAAATCTTCAAAGAGAGATGGAAGGTCCTCTGTAGTGAAGGGACTTGGCATTGATTGGTGACTTGGGATCTTATGATCCAGGTTGTCTTCTCTTCTCATGGGGATGTTTTCCACCAATATTTATTAACCATCTACTTGTGGAGGGAAACATAAAGAGCTTTGGGAGTTTCAAAAGTAGAATGCATATGAATTCTGCCCTTAGGAGCATACTACAGCTAAGAGTATTAATAGGTAACATTTCCTGAACATTTATTAAGTTCCAGATACTATTATAA